TTCTTTACAAAGTTTTTGAAATCTTTCACTTCCTGCCTGTTCTCCACTGTGTGGGTCTCTTCAAACTTCTTGATAATACTTCTCACGGATGGGAAAAGTATTATTATTAAGGGCTAATAATATTGACCGTAGCAATTTTTTTTTATTTTTTAAATAAATATTTTATTCCAGGCAAATTGAAATAAATAAGGCTTTCTCTGGATGAAAAATATAATAAGAAATACTGTGTTAAAGTTCCCTTGCTCTGTTAAACATCACTTGGGAAAAATCTGAAAACAAACTGAAATTCCATGGGGGGGGGGCTAGTAATTTTTTCTTCAACTGTACTACTGAATACTGTATATTCTTGTATTTGATTTAAGTTTATTCTGCTGTTTATGCAACATTTTGAGGTTAACATTACTTTTGTGTTGGCAGTAAGCTGATTGACCAGGCATACTCTCCCTTCCATGCGGTGATGCGCTGTGGGAACCTGACCTCTGATGTGCAGGTCTTTCCCAGGCCAGAGCCAGTGACCATAGATGAAGAAGTGGATCCCATGCCCAGAACAGTGCAAACAGGTATGAGCAAAGAAGCTAATGAAATTAGCTAATGAAAATCATGTCCTTAATGTTAATAGATCGTTGGAGACATCTTAAAGTGCTACTTGCTGATTAAGGACCTTGTGAAGTAATCCCAGAAGGTGTTCTTTGGTTGGGTTTAAAGCAACTATTACAAAAAAAGAATCCAAGGCACTTCTTCTGGTCCAAAAGAGTTAAAAAGCCTTTATTCACATTCTGGCCATCTCAATAAACATTAAAAATGCCTAAAACTCTGCACACTGACGCATTTCGGCCTTCCTCAGAGTGTGTCACACATATATAAATAAGGCATTTTATGTGAGCATGTTTACATAATAAATATAAATATATATATAAAAAGTATTACATTTCAAGCCTTTAATCAGACAATAAATGTAAATAAATAAATGTTTTTATTTGTTGCTAATCATGCTTGATTCTACATAAAGAGGAAATTGGAGCAAAGTGCAGTTGATAGTTCTTTTACTTTGTTGTGTTTTATATATAGACTTGGAGATTGTGGGTTTTATTGAGATTGGAGATATCTCCAGCCCCCCGGTTTTATCCAGGCACCTGGTCCTTCCCATTGCTGTGAACAAAGGTCAGTATTTTGCTTCATATTTTTTTTCCTACAGTAGGTCATCTTATCCACATCTTTATTTATTTTCTGTTAGTCCTGTTGTAATGACAAAGCTGCTCAACTTGTTTATTTACAAAAAAGAAGTGGCAATATATTAAAATGGTGAAATAAAATATTAATAAAAATCATGGAATTCCATAGTTCCAGACGTTTCAGTAACACTTTTTAACCAATTAATGACTTTATAGTTGTTCATGGTTATTTTGATTATTGTTATTATTTTCTCTGCAATTTCTACCTATATTTTATCAAACATATTAATCTAAAATGTTTGTGTTCATATATATTTTATATATGTGTGTGTGTGTGTGTGTGTGTGTATATATATATATATATATATACTGTATATATATATATATATATATATATATACATTTTCACATTTCATAATTTTATCACTTTGATTTTTGTTTTGTTTTCCTGAATAATTTTGACATGCTATATATATATATATATATATATATATATTAGTGCTGTCAAACGATTAATCGTGTAATATATGTATGTGTACAGTGTTTATTTATTATGTATATATAAATACACACATTCAGTATATATTTTGAAAATATTTACATGTATATACATTTATTTATTTATATTATTATATATAAATATATTTAATATATAAACAACATATTTTTCTTAAATATATACATGCATGTGTTTGTATTTATATATACATAATAAATATACACAGTAAACACTCATATATTATGTAAACAAAAACCTTTATTTTGGATGCGATTAATCGCGATTAATTGTTGACAGCACTTATATATATATCTATATATCTATATATATATATATATATATATCTATACTGTATATAGATATATATATATATATATATATATGTTGTGAAAATGTTGTTGAAAAATGAGAATACCCTCCTCAAAGTTACTAAATAAAACAAAGACCGTTTTTGATGAACAGGTAAGTATGCTGAAAGCCTTTAAAGAGAAGTAATGTCTTGACAATTAAAAGTGTTATATAGCCTTGAATCATTCTTTGACTTAATGTTGACAATGGAACCACTTGGGAGGGAATTGCCAAGAGACTTATTTATTAGCACAAAAGAGGACAATGGTACAAAAGGAATACCAAATCATTGTTTTAAGTGTGAAAATATAGCAAAAGTAACACTTCGCTTTAAGCGTTCATTTACTGATGAGTGATTTTTGCTAGAAAAAAAGAGCAGGAAAAATACCAAGCGTCTCAGAGCCGACAGAAGCTATGGAAAGATATACACACACTTTAACATTAATATAGTTTGAGCTTATTAACTTGTCACATCGGCTGGGGCTCACAGGCATGTTCTTTTGCTTGACAGAGGGGGATGAGATCGGTACGGGGGCCACTGATGACACAGAGGAAGAGACCCCAACAAATCAGATGGCTGGAAAGAGCCCAAACTTCTGTGTTCTTCTACATGGCAGCCTAAAGGTGGAGGGGATGGTGGCACTTGTACAACTAGGGTAAGGATCAATATGAAAATATGCATCTGCCTTTTCATAAGCATTCTAAATGTTGGCATTACATTAAAAAAATTAGCTTTTAGTGAATTGCACTGTCAAATGAGAAGGATTTGTTTTCATCTCCAGCATATTTGAGATGAGTAATCTAGTTACTGTGAAATCAAAGTTTTCCCTGTCCATAATGTTTCCTCTGGCAGGCCAGACTGGTTCGGGATGCTTTATTCCCAGGCAGACAGTAAGAAGAAGTCCAATCTAATGATGTCACTCTTTGAGCCTGGCTCGGAGCCTCTGCCCTGGTTAGGCAGAATATCACAGCTTGGCCCTGCCTCAGGTAGCACATTTTTACTCAGTAATTTTATGTGACAGCCACACTAAAAATGCATAAAAAATAAACGGCACTGTATTGTTTTATGCATTGTGTTCCAAGTAGTACATAATTAATACACTGAAACAAAAGTAACCTGGATGGTTCACCGAGTTCAGTTAGGAAACTTGCAGGTAAATACACAAGGGTCAGGGATAACGGTAATACCACACATTTGCATGATTAAATATTTATTTTCTTCTCTCACGCTTTGGTACCTTCTGAGACTGGAGGAACATACATAATAAAATATTTGCTCATTGTTTGCATAAGGTTTTGCTTACTGGCCAAAGATATACTGTAAATATCAGTTGACTACGATTCTTTGTTTGCATGACCTACAGATGCAGCTGAAAATCCCTATGGCGAAGATGACAGTAAAAGTCCTTTTCCCATACAGCCAAAAAACAAAAGAAGTTATGCTCAGAATGTTACCGTCTGGATTAAAGCCAGTGGACTGCAGGTATACACCTGAATACTACACTACATTTAATATATCTGACATGACACTAATTAAAAGTCATTTTACTAAACTTTTTTATAATCACACCTTCAGACGGATGTACAGAAAATTCTCCGTAATGCAAGGAAACTGCCAGAAAAAACACAAACCTTCTATAAGGTGGGTATTTATACATATTACATTTTTCAATTTCTTTCTCTAAGAGTGAAAAATTTAAGGGGGTCTGAATACTTTCCGTACCCACTGTATATTTAAAAAATAAAGTTTATTATGTAGAAAGGATATCATATGCTGATATATGTTAAAATAATTTTTTTTCACTGTAGGAACTGAACCGTCTGCGGAAGGCCGCTCTCGCCTTTGGTTTCTGGGAGCTTTTAAAGAGTGTGGCTGAACTTCTGGAGAGGGAGTGTACACTGCTGCCTGACTCCGCCCATCCTGATGCTGCCTTCCAGCTCTCTCATGCTGCTCAGCAGCTTAAACTGGCTAGTAGTGGAGACTCCAAATATGCAGCCTATGAACACAATATCACCCCCATGCTCACTGATTTCTCAGGGGGAGGAGGAGCCGACAGAATATAGAGGATGGAGGTACAATGCTCATTGGACAACTGCCAGATCAGTTATAGAGGAATGTACCTTTATTTAAAAACTCTGCTCAATGCAAAATGTTTGTCCAAGGGAAACAAGTTACTGCAGTAGAATCACACAGATGTGGCATTTTCAATGTTGTAGTAGTAGTGCCACAAAGGTTTGGAAACATGTGACACAAATTGACATTGAACACTCAATTTGAGGAAAGAAAAACATTCATCAGTTTTCCAAGAAAATGCATTTAGACTTTGTAATCTGTTTTCAGACCAGCAACTGTTTGTGTAAATAACTTTTTCTAACAATTACCAATAAAAATGAAACTGCCTGTAGTTTATGCTTAATGATAGTCACCTGAAAATCAATGCTTGATTTCATTGAAATTTAATTAAACATTTCACTGTTTCATTTACACATTCACATCCAGATCCCACATCCAACGACACTGAATCGGCTCTTCTCATGTGACTTGAATGCTTCATGGCGCTTTCCCTGAGGTTCATGGTCTATGTTGTTGTTATCAGTGCTGTGTCAACAGAAATTACTACTACAACACATCTCAGTGAATGACAGGAAAATAAAATGTTGCTTCTGTAAACATCTACAACATCCAACACAAGCATACTGCATATAGATGGACTGATACAATATAGAAATACCTTCATGGTCCTGGTTTGATAAGATCGATTTCTTTCTAATGTTTTAAATTAATCATTCATATCCTCTACAACTCAGACATGGTCTTTCAGCATGTAGAAAGTAAATGCACTTGAGTTGGTGTTTGAAAGAAGAGAGATAGTTTTCCCTCAGTAATGACTTCTCTGCGACAGAGGGCAAATGTAAAGAAAGAAAATGGAGGCGGCAAATTAAATCAAAGAAAACAGACACACATGGAGAGTGAAACGTGGCTTCCCCTTCCTCTCAGTTGGCTTTCCTCTTTTTTGTGCGAAACCGTCTACTCCTTTGCTTGAAGAGGTGGCGGAAGTTGATGAAGAGCCCTGAAATTGTCAAAAATATATTTATATTGCATAGCAGTTATAATCTTTTACAGGGTTCCCACAGACATGGAGAACCTGGAAATATTAGGGAATTAAAAAATATTAACGTCATGAAACTGTAATGGCAATTTATACTCTGTCTATGCTCAAAATGTCTATAAATACATTGAACAAACATAAAAGTGACCTGACATGTGGCCAAGTATGGTGACCCATACTTGGAATTAGTGCTCTGCATTTTAACCCATCCAAAGTGCACACACACACACCGTGAACACACACCCGGCGCAGTGGGCAGCCATTTATGCTGCGGCGCCCGGGGAGCAGTTGGGGGTTCGGTGCCTTGCTCAAGGGCACCTCAGTCGTGGTATTGAAGGTGGGAGAGAGCGCTGTACATTCCCCCCCCCCCCCTACAATCCCTGCCGGTACAAGACTCAAACCTTTGCTTTTAGTCCGACTCTCTAACCATTAGGCCACGACTTCCCCCATTGTGGGACATTGGATTCATTTTTTTGCATGAGTTTTGTGGACCTTACCAAAGAACATGATCACCAGGTAGAGCTGCAGGATGTAGGAAAAGCTGAGAGAGGTCCCAATGGCTTTAGGCAGAGGAATATTGAGGAGTTTGGTTTCATCAAAGATGGGGATGGACTGGATCACCGCCACAGCTGATCATAATATAAGGGAGCATAAGAAAAGCTGTCAGTTACACATGAACATTATACATTAATGTCTCACCTTCTCATGAACAGCCCATCATGATTTTTAATTCTGGTAGGGCTAATCTACAGATACACATACCTTCAGATAGAACTCCGAGAGGGTACAGCGGTATCCATATGGTGTATCTCAACCAAGTCAACAACTTCCACTCCGTATCAATGCAGGCCAACATGTAGAAAGGATACCTATGGTTCATTTTCACAAATGCAGGATTAGATCCATTTTTATTCAACAAAAGGTCCCTTTTAGGACCGAGCTGTAGGGCTCAGATGATTACAACATCAACACTGCTTTTTAAATCAAAATAGAAAAATACACTACTGTTTAAAAAGTTTTGAAAGATGTTCTTTAAAGTCTGTTATACGCACAAAGACTGCATTGATTTGATCAAAAATACAGTAAAACAATATTGTGAAGCAGTATTATAATTAATTTTTTTTCTATTTTAATATATTTTAAATGTAATTTATTCCTGTAATTACTCCAGTTCTCACTGTCACATGATCCTTGATTTGATACTCAGGAAACATTTCTGATTATTACCAATGTCGAAAACAGTTGTGCTTCTTAATATTTTTTGAGAAACCATGATACACTTTGCTTTTTCAGGATTCTTTAATGAATACAAAGTTCAAAAGGACAGCATTTATTTAAAATAGAAATCTTTTGTAATTGTATGAATCCTTTTACTGCCCATTTTGATTCATTTAATGCTGAATAAATTTTTTTTTTAAATCTTAGTGACCCTAAACTTTTCAAGTTACTGGTAAGTGTAAACCTATTTTAATAAAAAATATTTATTTTATAAAATAAAAAAATCTAAACAAATTACAAACATATAACATTCAAAACTGTTACAGATATGTATTCTCATTTATATATTGTCATATGAACTAGTTACATTGCTTTCAGCCCTAGTTTTGAGGGACTGACTGCCATTTCACTCTTTGCACACGGATGTGTGTCTCCTAGTGATAAGTTGTGTGAGCCCACAGGAAGAGAATGATAGCAGAAGAAGTGTGGATAAACTGTGGCTGTACAGAAACCACATCACTGATGAAACAGCAAAGAACATAAAAACGGCCTAAAATCATTAACCTACATATTTATACCTATACCAAGCTCAAAAAGATACACAGGTAAACATTTCAAATGTAGTATGTATTCTGTTGCTGTAATTCCAATTTAGGTTCTAATTTTCAGTATATTTTGGAAAGAGAAAATGCATTTGATTTAACAAACTAAGGACTGCATATAGGAAGTTGAAATATTAGCACAAAGAAGAGGATATCCTGTAGATAAAGAATGCAGACTACACCATCACACAAACTCCTACATTTCCTCACCATCAGCAGAAACTGTGCTCTTAATAAACATGCACATGTAACATACTATTAATTACCTGAATATCTCAATCATACTCCATAGATAGAAGACAAAGAAGACCACTGGCTTGTTCTGCATTTCCTCTAAAGTGCCAAATATGACAAAAAGGATGAAGTTCCTCCCCATCACCTTTAACAAGAGGAATGTAAATATCTCACTGTCATAAAATTGATTATTCAAAGCAGTATATAATGAAGTGCATTTAATTGGTTACAAAAGCATGAGGCGCACCAGACATACCTGAATGAAAGCAGGCATGACTCCAGTCTTAACCAACCCAACAGCAGGATTAATAACCTCCATTATCGCCAGCATCTGACAGAAGTACATCACGTCGGCAATAGTATGAAATGTGTCGTAGAAAGAATCTGTTGGGTTGAGAAAAAAAACAGTAAAGACCATACTAAACTCCGAGACATAGACAACTATGTTTTCACTGTTTTCACACTTTGGAGAACCACTTTACACCAACCAATTAAAGCAGCTTTTTCAGACGACATGTTTCACACTGCTCATAATTTATCCTAGGTTAACGATTAATCCTGGGTATTGATATGCTGACGTTTCACTGTACATTCCTAGATCCTGGGTTAACATTCTTATTTGCATAATTGTGGTGTCAGTATCATTGACTGGACGAACATAGCACACAACTTGTTCACATAAACTACAAAAGCTGTGCTAACCATGTTTCTGAGCAGGGGTTTCTTAACCCCCGGGTAAAAACCTCACTTCTAAAATGTGTATATATATATATATATATATATATATATATACACACACACACACAAATTTGCATAACAGACCTGCAGGCCTTCTCAAAAAAAAAAAAAAAATTCAAATGAGATGCATTTACTCACAATAACAACAGCTAAAAAGCAGAAGTGTATCTTTAAGCTGCTTACAAAAAGTTGAAAGACTAGACTAACCTTGCCCAAGAATGAACAGACGTACAGTCATGTTGACAAATATCCAGGAATAACCGAGGAACTGGACCAAGTTGTACATAAAGAGAAAACCTTTTTTCAAGCCAAGAAAAGCTGTAAACACAAGTAACATAAGAGTAATGAATACATGGTTATTATTTGGTAAGCTGACCCAATGTGTTTACTTTCTACTTGAAAAAATTAAATATATACTCACGGTCCTTACGAACCCTTGACTCAATGTTGATTTTGTTTATTTTCTCTTCCTGTGCACAGAAAACAGTTTAACACATCAGACAGTGCACTTCTGTGAAGCTCCTCAAGCATAACGAATAATTGGTGTTTTTGGTTATTAGTAAACCTCTTCACCTTCTCTCTGAGCTCCATTTCTGCATCTGACTCATCCAGCCAGCGGTCAAAATCAGGTGCTAAAAACAGAGGCTTCTTCTCTTGTTTAGTGAGTCGATTCCACCAGACGTGCTCCTGCTTCTTTACTGTGATATTCACCTGTCGCTGGGTGGATTTGTGTTTCACCTGTGGACACAAACATTTTCATGTTCCTCCTGTGCAGCCAAACACTTTACATCGATGTTTTCAGAAATTTCTCACAACAGTATAAAGGCAGATGGCTGTTACCTCAGGTTTAACAGGTTTTAGGAATTCCAGACTGAATTCATATTCATTTTCTCCTTTCGCTCCATGCCCTTGACCTTGAAAAGAGCAGAATAAACAGAAGTCACACAACCGAAAAGAAAGAGCATCCAGCTGATGGTTGACAAATCACAACATTCTAGTTCATATCTCATGATAGTCGTGAGATGTACCTTTGAAGTGAAGGATGTTTTCTTCTACACCAATACTGAGACTCTGCGATAGAGACAAAAACGAGTGTGAAGTCAAAGAAGTGTGAAGTCAAGTTTCAAGCTCCTCCTCCCACTGCCTGTTTTATCAGTACAATGCCCTCAAATACACCATGCATACCCAGTTATAAAATAATGAAGCTGGTTACAATATCTGAAATGAACTGATTTGAACGATCACACTTATTAGTGTACAAATTACCAGCAGACCAATATTATAACACAGACTTTTAAATGTTTCTTGCTCCGTGGAAACCCTGCTGTTTTCATGAGGTTTCGGTAAAATTCTATTATGTACTGAACAGTTTATAACAGCGGTTCTCAACTGGGGGCCAATGCTCACTAAGGGGCCTCAGCAAACTTGGGTGCCGCTGCCGCAAGATGAAATAAAGACAAAACAAGCATTAAATAAGCTAAAGCAACTAAAAATCATAATATCTGTTATTTTAATTCACCCCTCAACTGTTTGTTTTTTTTCTTTTATAAAATATAAAAGTGTTATTTGTAGACCTGGAAAACTATATATATATATATATATATATATATATAGTAAATATCCAGTTAATTCCAAACAACTGGAAAAGTCATTGTACCTGTAAATACTGTTGTGGGCAATGGGGCGTCTTGGAGTAAAAAATGTTTGTGAACCACTGGTTTTTGGGGCTTGTGTTGACAGGGTTGGCAATTAAAATGCCAAAAGTCATAATGTTTTGACCTATGTATGGCATTTGTTTTTCTTTTGCCATTCTGACTTATTGCAGACATACTAAGGTAAACAATGTAACAGCTTTCTAAACTGTTTTAACATTTATTTGCATAAAGGGACGTCACAGCAACCCTGTTAATATACCACAGCAATACCACCTTTGTTCCAGAGCTCTCAGTGGCAGAAGGATATTCTGTCTATTCACCTTAATTAGAGGACTGGTCAACATGCTTTAATCTGCCCTGAGAAAGCAATTAGGGGGAAAGGGGCAGATGCTCCTTCTGTGTCAGCAACTGGATTGTAAATAAAACATGCTCTGTCATTGTAACTGGGCCAGATGGTTGGTGGGTCCAGCAGGATCCCGTCCTGGTCTCCCTTTCAGTAATCTTCATTTTTATTCTCTGTGATCTAGGCTTGATGCAAGCAAGCCCTGTCAGACCTACAGAGGCTGTTGTTATTCAACAGCATATCAACCCATCACTACAGTTTACAGTTCTGTAACCTACGATCTGGATTTGCATATATATTAAATGCAATAAATGCGAAAAGAAAGCAGAATAAGAAAAGGACTATAATGGAGAAAAAAAATGCCCCAAAGCAAGTTTTTCTTACCTGTCCATCACTGATCTCCACTCGCAGGTATATCTCCCCATGCCGCTGCGCCCAGTACACGTGAGGTGTGAGAGCCTGCATTGCAAATATTCACATTAAATAATGCGCCTTACTCAGATTTAACAATAAATGACAGGCAATGTAAATCTTGCAACAAGCAGCCGGAAGACGTTTCCAAGTATTCTGTCATTTGTCCAGAATATTCTTCGAGTGCGCGTGCGTGCACGTGTCGTGAACGCAACACTCACCGCCCACTTTTTCAAGTTCCGGAAGTATCCAATTAATTTTCTATAAAATGTAAAAAGTTTTTAAGCCTCGAATCCAACCACCCGGCCCTGAGACAAGTCGCAACTTTCAAACATTTATTTAAAGAAACGGAAATCGGAGAAAAGGACAACGGTACAAGACAATGAACTACACTACCCATGAAGCACTGCGAATGACGTAATCGAACAAAAACGACATGCTAATTAAATAAATACAATGTGCAAATACAAAACTATCAGTTTATCGATTTTTATTATAAGTATGAAATATTTACAATATTTAATATGCTATACTTGAGCTTCCCTCAGGATCATGAGTAGCACAATTCATCACTGGCAATGACTTTTTTTAATGAAGTTCAAATTATATTTCATTCTCACAAATAAAGGCGTACATCATCTTATATGTAGGAATATTATCCGTTTGACGGTTTCATATGTCATTGTTCCAGCCAGCGACGGCGCTGTGACGATGTTTGTAACAGCGCCAGTGTTTACGGAAGTAACTTAGCAACGACTGACTCTAGACTTACTGCTACTTAAATGTGCAGATTTATTGCCCAATATAATTTCATCTCGAAATACATTTCAAATATGAATGATACAAATATCATACCTTACAAGAGAAATACTTTAGACAGGGGAAACTAACCAAATATAAAAAGTCTTTTATAGTTAACAAGTTTAAGTTTTATGTTTTTACGATGCAGCAGAATTCTGAATCTGATCATATACAAATGGACTTGCAAACAAATAGTAGAAAATGTCATGTTCTAGTTGGTTTGACTGGCAGTGTAGCTGCACTCAAGGCGCCTTTGTTGGTAACACAACTACTTGAGATTCCAGGGGTAAGTATATCATATCTATTCAGACAGTTCAAACAGTTTCTGCATGAGTTTCACAGTTAGGTTATCATGTTCACCAAATCACACATTTATCCACTAGGGAGTGCTATTTGTTACAGCATAGAAAGTTATTCTAATATGATATGACTATATTTTAATTTATAGAATACAAAGTAAACTTTTTAAAGATGGAAATTATGCTAGTTCTCCTTTTAGAGTTTTTATGTTTAGTTCTCATTTAAGTTAACATAGGGGTTATTTTTATATCATTTTAATCATTTTAAATCATTTATTTTGGTTTAAGTGGCTGTTGCATTTTGCCTTTCAGAATTAATCAAATAGAAGATATAAAAAATGAATAGTTTTTTTCTTGAGTACATTTAATTATTTGTTTGTTTGTTTTATTGATTGATTTAGAAATAAATATATTAAAAAATATATATCTTCATATGTTTATCTTTACTTTAAGTTTTTTGTCCTGTTCATTTGTTATTGTGAATTTTTAATTATTTTAAATCTGGGTGAAATTTGGTTAAAAGCTATAGTTAAAGATATGTTTTTAGGGGGTGAACGCGCCATTTTTTCTGTTCTGTTCTCTAGGTTGATGTCCGTGTGGTCACCACAGACCATGCCACTCATTTTTACGATATCAATGAAGTCCCTGTCCGTGTGTACACAGATAAGGATGAGTGGGAGGTAAGTACAGCTTTTGAAGAGGAAGCAATGCATTTTTACTATTCAAAGAACAACATAATATTGTTTCTTGCTGTGACGTTACATAACAGCATTTTTAATAGAAGATATGAAGGGTTTTCTTTATATTTCTATGCTAGATGTGGACAAAGCGCTCTGACCCTGTGCTTCATATCGAACTTAGACGTTGGGCAGATCTGCTAGTAATCGCTCCACTGGATGCCAACACACTTGGTAAAATTGCCAGTGGAATATGTGACAACCTCCTGGTAGGTCGTGTATTTATTACATTGTTGTGGCATTTTGTATGGATTTGCTTTGGTGCATTAGTATCTAAGTGTGTTTATCCATTTTGTTGATGACAGACATGTGTGGTGCGCGCCTGGGTCTCCAGCCGCCCTCTGCTCTTCTGTCCTGCTATGAACACAGCCATGTGGCAGCACCCTATCACTGCACAGCAAGTGGCCACGCTTAAAAGCTTTGGATACGTTGAGATACCATGCATTGCCAAAAAACTAGTCTGTGGAGATGAAGGTATCTTCTAAGAAAGTGTATGGCTTTTATGAGGCAATTGCATTGATAAGGGAAAATGGAACAGATAAAAAAAATTCTCATCGATGTGTGAAATCACTCGTGCATTATTCGTTAACTGAAGATCAAAGAGATGGAATCTGGCAGGCTTTGTTAAGCATGCTCCTTGATCTAAGAAGGACTTAATGAATTAATGTTTCTTGTGTTTTGGCTCGTCTTACATTCCAGTCTTGCTGTCTTCACAGGTAAAGGCGCCATGGCAGAGGTTTCAACTATTGTTGAAACTGTCAAACAATACAATCCAGAAACATCCTGAATGACCTTGGACTAAACATACCAGTGGTAAAGAGACACAAGGTTATCTATGGAAGCCATTTCTTAATAAAAACAAAAATAAAAATATTTCCAGAATAAAAAATAATAAATGGAATTGTGATTTGTTTGTTTTTTCTCACACTTCTGACTTTTTTTCCCCAAAATTGTAAGATAGAAACTCAGAATTGTTAGATAGAAACTTGCAATTCTAAGAAAAGTCAGAATTGTGAATAAAAATGTGAAATTACAGTTCTTAAAAGTCAAAATTCAACGTTTACATCTGACAAATCTGACTTATTTCAGAATTGCTAGTTTACATCTTGCAGTTCTGTGTTTACATCTCACAATTGTGACTTTTTTCTTAGAATTGTGAGAAACAAAGTCTAAATTTTGAAGACCCAATTAGCCTTTTAATTTTGTATTTTTTCGTGGCAGAAATTGGCTTTCATAGTTATCTGCACAATCAATAAAGACAATTGAAAGTGTTTATGATATGTAAAATGTTTAATATTTTAGTGTTGTACAATTACACGTTTCAATGTTAAGAAACAAACAAACATTATTTTTCTGTTATTTATGGTTGTATTCATTATATCCATTTATTTTTAAATAGTAATTTCAAATAAGTTACAAAATTTCAAAATCCTTATTTTGAAACTAATTATGATAAATGATCAGAGGAATGACACAGTCTGTTATTACTTAATGGCATCAGATTAATTATCACAAAAGTCATGTAATGCTAATGGAAAATAAGCAGACAAATAGGATATAGTAGTAGAATATTTTACGGGAAAACATATTTATGTTTGGTGAGGTTTACTTGATAGTTTAACTGTTTTAAATGTTAGAAGTCTTCATTTTGACATGAATGTCACCTTGGATTGGCATGCATGTTCTTTCTGTGACCTTTCACCCAGTGGGGGCCTCAGAGGTCGAGTGAGGGGCCTCTAACCACAACAAGAGATTTTCATGAAAATAGTCTCAGGTTGTGCTAGAAGATACTAATGCGCTTAACACCTTGTCTTGTTTTGTTCAGGTACATATCCCGTTGAAGGTTACCGTTAGAAATGTGTTCCATCTGTTAATCATGTGGTTAACCACCTTGATTCTCATTTGGCTAAGATATACCAACAGCACGAGCATATATATATATATATA